GAGAGGAGGGAGGATGCTGGAGGGGTGTAGATTGGGGGCAGAAGGAGGGTGGAGAGGAGGGAGGATGCTGGAGGGGTGCAGAAGGGATTGGGGAGGGTGAGGAGTACAGGGTGACATTGCTGCCCCAGATTTGTCCCAGAGCTCCTGTCCCCTTGACATGAGCTCATGGGCAGCACCAACTCCTTCTGCACCTCAAGATCTGTCTTTGCTGCTCCCTCTCCCAGTAACTACCCTTAGAAAGGGAGCTGGGGGAACCAAATGATGCTGCTGGCACTAGGATAGCCCAGGTTACCCTCGAGGGACACAGAGTTATCTCTGGCCATGAACCTCAGAGCTGTTGATGTGCCCCTTTATATGTGGTACAGCTGTGCTTAGCAGCTGTATGGAATGGGAGCAAATTATAGCACCAACTCACCTCACTGCAGTGATACAGGTGACTGAATCCCCCTGATAATGTCCCTGTGCAGACCCAGGGCCTGGGCTGGGGGCTTAGAGGAGCCCATGGGGTCACACCAGTCTGCAAAGCTCTGGGCCCCAGTAGGGATAACATGTCAGGCCTGGCCATGATGCCCAGGAGCACCCAAAATTTGCCCCTTGGCAGAGCTGGGAGTGACTGCACAGCACCAAAAAACGTCCCCAGGCTTGGGATCGTTAACCACAGACATGTGTTGATTTAATCACTACCAGCACATTTACACTTGCAGAGCTATTTCCAAAGCAATTCCCTTCCCTTTCCTCGGAGCTGGGCTGGGCTTGTGCCTCCTTGGCCCAACCCAGTCACACTCATGGGTTAAAACTCAAAATTAACTTGTGAAAAATCAGATTTAAAAGCATTTTGGTGCAAACTGGATAACATGGAGATCCCTCTGTGTGGCTCATGCAATGCTCCCCATGGGATCATTTTGGACCAACTCTGGCTTAAGTCAAAACTCATTTAAATGGAATGAAATCTTTTCAACAGCTACTTTTGTCCCTAATTAGAGAATTCCATCAATGCCTCCCACTCTGCACGGAGCACCAGGCTGGAGCCACTCCAGCAGCATCTCCTCAGGATCTTCCAAGCAGAGCTGATGCTTTGTTAATGAAGGAGAGCAAAACAGTTCTGCAAAACACAAAAGTTCCTGCAGGAAACTTCACTTTCTGTGGGAGCAGAAAATTCTCCATCAGCTGTAAATTTCCCTGGATCTGGGCTTGATTTGGGCTGTGAATGCTCAGTTTGGGAGGTGTGAGGTTCAGCTTTGAAAATACCAAGTGTCAAAGGGGAGCAGCACTAATCAGGCATCAAGATGCAAAGTCACAGGTACAGAGGTGGGACAGCCCATGATCCATGGCAGGGACATGGCCAAGGACTTCCAGAACAAAACATCCAAAAAAAGCTCTTCCCAAAGAATTTGATTTGAAAGAATATTTCTGTGCTCTGCCTCAGAGCCTCTCTGAGCACGAGGCTGTGTTTGGCTTTGCTGCAGGTGTTGGTTGGGTTGGGAGCACTGGTTAGCATCTCTTCCCCTGGGATCTCCTCTCATCACTTAGTCTGGTTGTGCCTCTTTTTGCACAGATGCAGTTTGAGGGTTCCACTGTCCTGTGGGAGGAGAAGGACAGGATTTGTGGGCACGGGATGCTACTGTGCTGGGCAGAGGTGTTGGCAGGACACAGCTTCTCTCCCCACCAGTCAGTCCCCATTCCCTGCTGGGCTGGCCCCACTGGTTTCATTAGGGACCTGCTCACGTCGCGGGGACCTTTCCCACGTTGGGGCTGTCACACTGCATTAGCACTGCCCTGCTCAGCGCTGCGCCCGCTGCTCCGAGCCAGCTCCGAACAAAGTCCTTCCCCTCGCCGCTAATCCCTCCCGGCTCAGGTAATTAATGAAACAAAGCGGCTGCTCTTCCCTTCTCCAGGGGCTGCTAACGGCTCCAGGCTGCAGGCAACGGCCCCGGGGCTACAACGAGCCCGGCGAGAGGGGAAGGGGCCAGGCTGGGGGAGAGAGGGGCAGGGCAGAGCATCCCTGGCCGCTGAATTCACCCTGGGTCCTGCCCCAGGAGGGTTGTGCAGGGCACAGCATCCCTGGGAGATGCTCTGGGGGAGAGTGGGGCAGGGCAGAGCATCCCAGGCCGCTGAATTCACCCTGGGTCCTGCCCCAGGAGGGTTGTGCAGGGCAGAGCATCCCTGGCTGCTGAATTCACCCTGGGTCCTGCCCCAGGAGGGTTGTGCAGGGCAGAGCATCCCTGGCTGCTGAATTCACCCTGGGTCCTGCCCCAGGAGGGTTGTGCAGGGCAGAGCATCCCTGGCTGCTGAATTCACCCTGGGTCCTGCCCCAGGAGGGTTGTGCAGGGCAGAGCATCCCTGGCTGCTGAATTCACCCTGGGTCCTGCCCCAGGAGGGTTGTGCAGGGCAGAGCATCCCTGGCTGCTGAATTCACCCTGGGTCCTGCCCCAGGAGGGTTGTGCAGGGCAGAGCATCCCTGGCTGCTGAATTCACCCTGGGTCCTGCCCCAGGAGGGTTGTGCAGGGCAGAGCATCCCTGGCTGCTGAATTCACCCTGGGTCCTGCCCCAGGAGGGTTGTGCAGGGCAGAGCATCCCTGGCTGCTGAATTCACCCTGGGTCCTGCCCCAGGAGGGTTGTGCAGGGCAGAGCATCCCTGGCTGCTGAATTCACCCTGGGTCCTGCCCCAGGAGGGTTGTGCAGGGCAGAGCATCCCTGGCTGCTGAATTCACCCTGGGTCCTGCCCCAGGAGGGTTGTGCAGGGCAGAGCATCCCTGGCTGCTGAATTCACCCTGGGTCCTGCCCCAGGAGGGTTGTGCAGGGCAGAGCATCCCTGGCTGCTGAATTCACCCTGGGTCCTGCCCCAGGAGGGTTGTGCAGGGCAGAGCATCCCTGGCTGCTGAATTCACCCTGGGTCCTGCCCCAGGAGGGTTGTGCAGGGCAGAGCATCCCTGGCTGCTGAATTCACCCTGGGTCCTGCCCCAGGAGGGTTGTGCAGGGCAGAGCATCCCTGGCTGCTGAATTCACCCTGGGTCCTGCCCCGAGGAGGGTTGTGCTGCTCCTCCCAAGTCAAGGCATTTCCAAACAGCTCCCTGGGATTTTTTTGGAGGTGGCCAGTGGGACCAGTGAGGTCTTGTGCACCCCTAGTTG